CACAAATTTTCGTTTAATTCCAATTAATATTGAACGAAAAATAACGTTTTTTAGGCTGACCCGAATTATTTCGGGTCAGGTTTGACCCCAATCCGACCCGACCCGAAATGTGCGTTTTGGGTCGGGTCACGGATTGGACCCGACCCGGTTGGAGCACTATCTGTATTTTAACATGTCAATATTTTTTATAGCAAATGTGCTTTCACTTTCTCAGAAGCTTGCCAGATTCACTTTTGACAAGAAAAAGTAAGTTTAGTTTCCACAAATTACGATAATGGAAAACCCATAACAGTTAAGATCAAAATAAGTTATTTCAGTTTCTGGAGTACATGTATCATCTATTTTTAATTTGGAACACTTATTTTGAAGCATGATACTCATGACCCACAGGCCAAATTCCACCATAATTTATCTCAGTAAATTTGTGGATTTATTTTTATCCGATTTTAATCCGGAAATTTTATAACTAAACCTGTGGTTTTCCGGAACTTAAAAACCGGATTTTTGTCTGATTATTTTTTTTATAGGGCTAGCATAGTACAGTACAACAAACAAGACAGTTTATGCTATAACCCCAACCCCGCAGCCATATTACTTTTTATAAATTGCTCGGTAAACCTTTCAAAAGAATCCATTCAAAAGATCTAATTTTCGCACATTCTTTTATTAGACTGTTGTAATCTTTATTTTCGATAGAGCATACAGCCTTATAAATTCGTTTGTGATAATAGAAAATGCAAAATAGTATTACTTTCTTGACAATACGTAAGTGCATTTACTTCAATCACGAATATTGTGATCTGACAATTACAATTCAATCAAAATTTAGAATCTATCTGATTTCGCTTTATAAAATGGTTTTGAAAAAAATGTAAAATAAATAAGATAATAATGATTATTTATTTGTGTGGAAGTCAATTTTTGCTTTAAGCAATTGAATAACATTACAAGTTATTTGCTGTAAAACCATTTATATTTCTAATTCATGTTTAAATATTATAACTCCAGAAGAGAAATTTTTGATAGATGCTCACCAAATTCATTAACTTCTTTTTGATTACATGTATTTCTTAACAAATCACATGTATAATTTGACGGAGAATTACACGTATATGACAAAATTAAAATTTTATATTATTGATCAAGATCAAATAATGGATTTAACAGTTAATACCAAGGTTCGACTGTAATTTAATTATTCTTTCAGGAAATAATAATACACAAATGAACGAATACATTATTATTGTGTAATCAAGCGTAAATAGGATAGTTTAGCAACTGCTGTAGAAGCTGTAATAATAGCCGGAGGCGTAAATGTACCTACAAACAGCTATTATTATTGTGGGAGATAAAAAACGATAATTAGTTGGTTAATTAATGAAAAAAGATACTGAGTAGAATAGTGTGACCTACCATAATAAAGAGCATCGTACTTATTTTTCCATTTAGCGAGAGCAACAGACAAACCTAAAAATTGAAAAATGAAGATGCATATTAAACAAAAATAGTTACTGGCTACAAATATAAAAATGATCATAATACTAACTAATCATAATAACAAGCAAGCAAAAAATGAGAATCCACATTAAATAATATGTTTTCATAAAGGGTTGTCCGTTATAGAAAAATGGTTGATGCATAAGTGGAATATTCAGCAGTGTCTGTGATTATTTCATCAATAAGCGGTGAAGGAACTATGATGGTAACTGGGCGAGCGTTATTGTCACCTGGTGGCGACATTAGCGGTTGTGGATAAAAATTTTTTCTGCAAGTCCTTCGACGTCGAGTGGTGGAGGACCGGCTGGTGGGCCAAGTAGAGGTGCCGAATCAGGTGGTGGGCCAACAGGCGGACCTAATTGAAAGTTCCCCGTTTGTTGGAATTGTGGTGGTGAAGATGCACTTGCTGTAGGAATACCCACACCATCACTTGCTTGGTGGTTATGATAGAAAATATTGCTATTATCGTTGAAAGATGGTGGTGGTTGTTGATTGTAAATTTATTGTGGTTGTTGTCCACCGGCATTAAAGTTATCGTTTGGAGAAGCCATTTTTTTATGATTGGTTTCAAATAAATCTGTTTACGTTTTCAATCGATAAAATAGCTTAACGTTTAAATTTCTACAAGGGAATATCGATATGGTTAACTCGAGTCAACTTATCGTTATTTGTGAGTGTCGATTGATCACGGTATGAGTATCTAAAAACGGAATAAAGAGATAACGATAACGATAACGGGCATAATTAGGCAAGGGCCAGGATGTAGGTGTGATTTTCCGATTACGTGGTTTTTTATCATGCGAGTGTGACAAGAATTCTTGTAATATCACATTTCAAAGCTTTGCTTTTTTGGGTAATTATATTTTATTATTTGTTACTGCATAGATTAGTCTTTTAATAATTTTATTATAATTAAATTATTTGGAATTTCTCAACTAAAGTTATTATAATTTCTTTTGTGTAAGAAGAACAAAGTGAAAGAATCTTTGTTATTTTGTTATTATTAACTTTGAAACATATTTATATTAGTACAAATAATTAATATTTTAATTAATATATTAATTAAAATATTTTGTTTAGTAAATATAATTACTTAGAATAGTATTTATAAATTAAATATCATTATTTTGTTCTTTTTTTATATCTTGCTTCTTTTTCAAATTATAATAATTTTAATAGAAATTGGTATAAAACTTAAATATATTTTTCTTATTATTCTTTCAATTTTAATTCATGTTTATTAGTTAATTATATAAATATATAATAATATTATTATTATTTTTAAATATTCTTATTATTAAATTACTATTATTACTACTATTATTATTACTATTATTATTACTAAAAAGTTATGTATTATTATTATTATAGTTATTATCTTTATATATTACTAAATTATATATTATTATCATTATAATTATAATTATTATCTTTAAAGTTATAACTATTATTATTATTATTATTATCACTATTAATATAATCTAAAATATAGTTATATAACTCTATATTTTTAATATATTTTACTTATACTTATAATATTATAGATATATATCTTTATTATTAATTTTAAAATTTTTTTATATTAGATTTTTAGATATTTTTCAATAATAAAATCTTTATTTTTGTTATAACTCATTATATTAATAATTAAATTCTTTAAAAAATAATTATTAATTTTAAATTAACAAGTGAATATTACAGATAAATTTTTTAAAATACTAAAAGATTATAAAATTATGTTAAAGATAAATTTTTTATTAATTACTTATATAAAACTAGTATTTAATACTAATAATTTTATTTTTATTGTTTGTCATAAAAAAATTTAGTTTTTTAATATTTATTTATTATTATTATTTTTATTTATTTGTTTTATAAAATACTTTTTTATATCTTTTTATTATTATTTTAAATAATATTATAAATAATAATATTTTATATAGAAATTAAAAATAAAATATTAATTAAAATTCAGAGTATCTTTAATTTTAGTATTTTAATTATATTTTTAATTTAATAATACAGATAGTTCTAAATTAAATTAAAAATAAATCTCTAAACTATCTGAGAGAGATATAACTATAATTTAAACTAGTTTTAGTTATATTTTTAACTATATCATCAGTTTTAGAATTCATTTTTAAATTAAATAAAAAAGATGTTTGTTGGGTATTAGTAAATTTTTTTTTAAAGTTCAAATTTAGAAACACTTATTTAAAATTTTTATTTTTTATTATATTAATAAAGATCAAAAAAAACTTAATTTTATTATTTATATCTTCATTTAATATTTTAAATTCTTGAAAATATTAATAATATATATTATATTAAATATGATAAATTTATTTTGGATTATCTCACTTAATAAAATTTTATTTATAATATAATCAAGAATAAATTATTATTTAAACTGGTTAATTTATATAATTATAATACAAATTCTAATAATAAAATACTTAATATTTTTATTAATTTTTATAATAATCTTAATTATTATATTATTTCATATAATTAATTATTTATATTGAATAAAATTGCTGAGTTTCTTGAATTATTTAAGAATATCATAATTAAATATTAATTAGTTTGAATAGTATTATCTTTTGAATTATTTTTCTTTTTAATATTATTATTATTATTATATCAAAAATATGATTTCAAATACAAAAATAAAATATAAAATTAATAAAATTTACTAATTCACTTTTAATAATTATTAGTTCTATTATTTATTATCATGATTAAAGCTTTATTTAAGTTAAATCAAATTGAATTTAAGCTCAATTTAAATTAAAAATAATCTCAAAAATAATATTATTTAATTAAATAATTTGTCAAAATTAACTTGATAAAATTAAATTCAAAATTATTTTAATTAATTTTATTAGTAACTGAAATTATTTTCTGAAATAATTTGAATTCTACAAACTAATACAAGTATTTTTAGTGTAACAATTTTCATATACCCTTGTAATTTCTTGTATCATGTCTATCCTTTTTCGTGTTATGTTTATCATTTTCTTGCATAACATATAGAATTTAACACAGATCTATATTAATACTTCTTAATGTTTCGCTAATTAGATTAGATGTGAAATGTAGATCATATTATTAATTTGGATACACATTGT